TTCCTGCTGCCCCGCAGCCCGCTCCTCACTCTCCATTGCTACCACACTGAACCAGTTTCTCGTATCGACCCAGCGAACCCAGCAACCCCTTCGACCCCCACCCCACCCGATTGTTTGCATTTTTTATTAACAAACACACAGGCCAAGCAAAAAACAAAAAAAAACAACAAAAAAAAGAAGAAAATACTGCAAAAAAAAGGGTATGCAAAATATTTGCTATAAATGAATGCACACACAAAAAGTGAACCTCTTTTGTTGTGGGCGGGTTGCGCTTACAAGCGTTCAACATGGCGATAAGCCAAAAAGGGGTTGTTTCAACCCTTCCCCTGCGAATACATTTAAGAGTCGAGCTGCTGTTGTTGTTGTTGTTATAGCGATATAGCATGCATAATCGCTGTTGTTTCAGTGTATTAATTTTGGTTTTTTAATAAACGCATAAATATTTGTGTTTGCCTTTTAGATTCACCGTGGCTGATGTTGTTGCTGTTGCTGTTGTTGTTTGCCCCTCGAGCCTTATTTCCAAATCAAAATTTTACTATTGAGGAGTGCCCAAAAGCAGAACCCAGAACATCAAATCCCAAACCCCAACTTAATACCTCGCGGTGCGTTTTATGTAAACTGTGTTATTAGCTTTTCAAATGGGGGGAGTTTTGCATATGTATGAATAATTTGAATATATCCGCTTAGCTATAAGTAGCCGCGGGGTCTAATTATTATATATGCCAGCAATACAAGGCGTTTATCTAACGCTGTCAGGCGTCATTAATTGCAAATACCTGTGTGACATATACACACACACACACACACAACACACATAGACAAATGCCGCATTCTATTGGAAACTGGGGCCTCCTTTTATGGCCAAGTGCAATTTGCCATACATATGCCGTTTGCATGTTTTAATTATTAAACAAATCAATTTGCCAACTTCGAGACAGGAGCAGAGTGAGTTGGCGGCTTAATGGCATTTAGCCATTTTGTCAGCGAGACAGCAGTGCACTGTAGTGTCTACAGTGTCTGATGCAAGCGTTCGACCCAGTCAATTAAATTTGCATAAATGCATTTTTAAACATGTGCAATTTTTGCGGCAAGGCATCCAAGTACTTAAGTTTCGATTAGGGAATCCACTTTGTCGAAGTTGCTTTAGATACGCACTTACTGCCAACTTAATCGATTCAAGTTTAAAGTTCTTATCGAGCCAAAACATTTCAATTGCACAGGCTCTTTAAATATTCAAAGAAAACCAGGAACCCAGCAAAGAAATGATATCTTAGAATGCATGCAAAACAAAGATATATGCAAAGTTTCATGAAATCTGTGATGTTGATTGAGGATATATATTTCCCTTACAAACATCACTGATTGAAAAAGATTAAAAAAATAACAAAAAAATACATAAATTTTTAAGCTAGAAATCATAAATTGTAGTTTTTGTAAATTGGATTAAATTATTATCTGGCTGCTCCTTTTGTTTAACTATTGAAAGTGAATTAAGTGTAATGTTTACTTTCTGCATTTAATAAAGTTTGCTGTTATTCATTTTTCATATACTGCAATTTTTTTAAATGAGATTAGATTCAATTGATTTGAAAGTTTGTCTTTTTTGTCAGCTATTGAAAATGAATTCAATTTAATGTTTATTTTCTGCATTTAATCAAGTCAGTTGCTATTCGTTATTCATATAGTGCAGTTATTGCAAATTAAATTGGATTCAATTGATTTTTAATTTTGTTTTTATATCAACTATTGAAAATGAATTCATTTAAGTCTTTTTCCTATATCTAAATCAAGTCCTAATGCAATTTTCATGTAGCTTAAGATACTTTTTTATGAATTAAAGAAAATGGAATGCGATTTAATCTTTACTTTGTATTCTAAACTATTCTTAATAACTTCCCAAACGCCAAAGAAACTCCAAGAAATGTATTTTTTATGTAATTATTCAAGGTCAACCTCAAGACTTAATTGTTCCTTTCTGCAACTGCGACTCGGCTTTTAAAATTTAATTACAAGCAGCTGGACGCCGCATTTATTACGTAGTATTTAAGTTTATTTTGGTGTTGGTGTTGGCTGTTGCTTTGGCTGTTTCTCTCTGATTTCACAGATTCAGCTTCTTTTTTTTTTTTTGTTTTTATTTAGCTTTTTATCTCTCGCCGCTGTGTGCTAGTAAAGGTCAAGATACGCAAGCAGCCGAGTCGCAAGTCGGATACGAAATACTCATATGCCAATGACCTATTGTAACGCCTATTAAGCGTACTTTCGAGTAACGCAGCTGTTTTCCCATTTGTAACCATTCAGTTTTGCAGTTTATAGTTGATTTTTTGTTTGGTTTTTTGGTTTTTTGCCGGCTACTTATTGATTTTCAATTAGTTTGTTTCGCTTTCCGCAACTTGGCAAACTTTGGCTTTGGTTCTGGCTTTTACAAGTTGCAATTTTTGGTTCGTTTGTTTTTGTCTGTTTGTCTTTTTGTTGTTGTTTTCTTTTCGCATTTTCCACTGCACAAATTGACATACTTAATTTGCTATCGATGCCAGGCTGAGTGAGTTGTGTGTGTGTGTGGGGTGTTGTGTGTTGTATGTTATGTTGTGTGCTATGTGTTGTGTGTATATTGCAAGTGAATTACATGGCAAAAAGTTTTGTACTCATAAAATATGCAATTTGCTGTTTGTTTTGGCAAAGCGCATCGCAACGATTTGGCCAGCAAATTGCGATTACTGCTGCTATTGCTGGTTTTGCTGCCCGCTCGACTTTGGCAAGTGCTCTTGGCCAAGTCAGTGCCAAAAAAATGTCAGGGTTAGACCAGAAATAGACACATGCCAATATGCTGGGTCCATAAACAAGCCAAAACTCAACCGGAATAGCGTAAAGTGTGTTGAGGAGGGGAGCAGGCAGCAAATTCCGAGACGATTGAAATCCGCTTGAAACTTTTTAAATTACACTTTGGGGAAATACTTAATATTTATAAGCGAACCCAAAGAACATGGGCTTAAAAATATTACTGCGGCGTATTCCTTCAGATGTAATCAAAGTAGTTTCCATATAATATATGTTGTAAACTGATTTCTGCTTTGGCCATTTTAAAGGAAAAGTTAAAGTTGGCTTATTGCAGTAGGCAGCACTTATCTGGCAGCCAACCAGATGTGATAAATATATGATATAGCTGTCACAGAAATAATAAACTTTATTGAATACTTAATTATCAGAACTAAACCAACAATTTTACTATTTGCAAGATATCGATGGGAATTTAAAATTTATAGGTTATTTGAGATGTCGACGTGTTGACTCCAGTCTGAAAGAGCATGCCACATATATCCGTTCTTCCTCTCTTTTATGTATATTTTTGTTGCTCTACCTATATTATTTCTATATAGGACACACTGCATGTCGTCATGTAAAGTTTGCCAAATTAAGTGGTATCATCTGTTGAAACCATTCTCAGCACGCTCGGGTGTATTTTTCATCATTTCATGTTGCTGGTGGTGCTCTTTAAAAATGCAGCTAATTACATTGAAAAGTTTTGTGCAACATTTGAACAATTGGCGGCGCAATGCTGGTAATTAATTTATAAAATTACTCGTGCGGCTAAATAATGGATTTAGTTTTTAGTTTGTTGCACTGTTCTCCTTTTGTGTTGCCCCTTGATGAAGCCCTTTTGCATGGTTAGTTGTTGTGCCTTTATTCTGATTTTTTTCTGTTTTTTTCTGTTGAATGCTGTTGCTGTGGTTTGTCGGGCCATAAAATTGTAATGAAAATTTATTTATGCCAGGGCGTTAAATAACCGCCAAACGAGAAATGCATTTTGTTATTGTGCCTGTGTTTTTCGTGCCGCATTTTAATTTCATTTTCAAAAATAATAATTTACATATACATAAACAAAACGCATACTTTTTGTTGTTGGTTTTTTTGTTTTTCGTTTGTTCGAGTGCATTTTCAATTAATTTATCTATAAATAATTATTTACAAGCAATTAACTTTGTGCGTACTTTTCATTTCATTTATTTGGTTGGCCAAGCATTTTTCTGGTTTTAGCTGAAAATTACGGATTTGGTGTTTTTGTGGTTTACACACGATAATGCGTAAAGTGCCAATTAATTTGACCAACAAAGTGTAATTTTAAATTGCCGCTAAAGCTGTTAAATATCATTTTTGATTAGGATGTGGCAAATTTGATAACACTATCAATGCAATAGATTTAATTCCAGTTAGGTGAACAAAATGATGATACTTTAATTAAAGTCATTTACCATCTCCTCTCATTATCTTCTATAGGATATCATAACCTGAAAATTGCTGAAAACGAGCTGAAAAAAAATTGCTAATAATTTCCAATAAAGAAAAAAAGATGTTGACTGTTTTTTTTTTAATTTTTGTATATATTTTTTAATGGTTTTTTTATGTTGTTTATTTTTCTCATATATAGTTTTTCTTGTGTTTTTTGTAATTGTAATAATTAATTTAATAATACATTTCTTTTAGTTAATTTAATTAATTTAGTTGCGTTTTCGTTTTTCCTTTTTTAAACATCATATTACATAAATACATTAAGTGTGCTAAATAATTTCTATGTATGGATCTCTGCTGCTCTATTTACACATAACTATATATTTTTTTATTTATTTAGTTATTAAGATTCGATGAAATCTTTATACGAATGTTTTCTGTGTTAATTTAAATGTAGATGTGTGTTTTGTGGGTGTTTAATTCTTTTTGTTTTCGTTTTTTTGCCAGGCTAGAAACTAATGGCTACAATTACAGTTATTTCTTGTTAATTTCTGCATTAGTCATACATTAAATATATATATAATATATATATTATATTTTTAATTAATATATCACATTGAATTTGAAAGTGTCTGTTTTGCAACATTTCTAGTAATTATTTTTATGCTTTTTAATGGTAAATTTTATAATAATAAGCCTATGAATATAATGGGTGTGTTGTGTGTGTGCGTCTGTGTGTGTGTTTGTGTGTGTGTTGGTTGTGCCATACAACTACTACAAAACAACAACAACAACAACAACGACACTTGAACACTTGAACACCGAAGGCGCATGCGAAAAAGAAATGCCTACGAAAAAAAGTCTTTTATTTGTTATACATATATATATAAATGTATATATATATGTATATATAGGTGTGTGTGTGTGTGTGTGTTGCCTGGCGCGCAAGCGTGCGAGCAGCTTCAAGATGGCCGCCCTTGCGCAGGAACCGTTGAGCGAGTGAGAGAGAGAGAGCGAGCAAGCGACAGAGCGAGAGAGCGCTTAAACCAAAAAAGCTTGGTTCTTATTGGCGCTGCTGCTGCTGCCTGCTGCATCTGCCGCTGCCAGCTGCTGCTGCTGCTGTTGCTGCTGCTGCTGCTGCTGCTGCTGCGCTGCCGCAGCGGAAGTGGAAGCCTGAGCCGTTGACTGCGTGCTGGTGCTCGCCTGGCTCAGTCCGCTGCCGCTGCGCAGGTGTATGGGCGCCGCGGTTGACGCTGACTGCGCTGCTGCTGATAGCGCTGCTGCCGACTGCGGCGCCGACTGTGCTGCTGGCTGCTGTGGTCGATATTGGGGCTGGAGCAGCCGCTGCTGTTGCTGCTGTCGCGCCAACTGTTGCAGCTGATGCGCCTGCAACTGTTGGTGTTGCTGATGATGCTGCTGCTGCTGCTGCTGTTGCATCATTGACAGTGCCTCATGTTGATCGTAGGCGCTGTATTCGGATTCGATGCTGTGATAGATGTGCTCCGATGGGGGTCGCATGGCCATCGACTCCACCACTGGGCGCATGGGGCGTGGCGAGGGCGTGGCCGTTGTCGCCGACGAATAATTGGCCTCCATGTCCTCGGTGCAGTAGTAGGCGGGCGGGGGCGGGGCCTGGCGAAAGATGAGTCCAGGGGAAACGGGCTGCTTGAAGCGCTCGTGGTGATCCAAGGTGTAGTTGTTGCCCCTGGGCGACAACTCAATGGGGATGGCATAGCGCAACTTCTCCCAGAAGTAACGGTCACAGGTCAGCAGACGATTCGAGGGCACCGATTTGAGGTATGGGGCAAGTTCAGCAACATCCTCGGCCTCGCTGGACACACTCGTCTCCTCGATGATGACCAGCTTTTGGGCCAAGCCGCGCAACGCCTCGTGGAATGCATTGCGGAACTCGACACGCTGCCACTCGGTGGCCAGCAGATGACGCGTCAACACCAGTATAATCTTCCTCGAGGCACGTGCACCCTCAACCAACTGCAGGTGACTGGCCTGCGATGGCAAGTCTCTCTGCTGTATGCATAGCCGGAAGGGAGGCCGACCATGCTCCAGTTCAGCGGCAATATTGCGGCAAACAAACTCGTAATCCTTCTCCGAGTGCAGGATGATGGCGTCGTACAGTTTGCCGGCATCCTCGAAGCGGGGCTCGCAGACGCGCACCCCGTAATGGGCAAAGAGCCACATGCGAACGCTCTCCCGGAAGACAAAGACAATGATCAGCACCACCACCAGGAAGATCAACACCAAAATGGCGGCGAGCAGTGGCAATCGATAGCCGTTGGTCAGATCTTGGGCAGAGCTAATGTTGCTGGCACTCGCATCGAGCAACTCGGAGCAATCGCTGCCGGGCAGCTTCGAAGACAACAGCTCCAATTCCCGCTTGATGCCCGCCTCCACGCAGTAGATGTCCTGCGAGTCGCGCACAATCAGCGCATTGTCCGTGACAAATTGCACCAGTTCCCGCAGCTGTTGGCAGCGACAACTCCACGTGTTCCTGCCCAGCGTCAGTCCTTGCAGATTATTCCTGTACTGCAGATTGGCCAGCTGTTGCAGTGGCAACATTGTCAGCCGATTGTTATCCAAGCGGAGCAACTGCAGCGAAACCAGTGGCTCAAAAGTGGAGTTGCCAATCAAAGCCAGCTGGTTGCCCTGCAAGTGCAACTCACGCAGCAAGGTCAACGAACGGAATGTGGCCGCATCCAAGGAGGTAAGCTTGTTGTGCTCCAAGTGCAGCACACGAAGATTGGCCAACTGGCTCAGACTGTCATTGGCCAAGGCCATCAAATTGGAGGCATTCAAGTAGAGTGTGTGCAAATTGCGTTGCCCCGCCAAATGTGTCGCCTGCAACACGGGCAAATTGTTGCCATCCAAGTACAACACATTGATGTCCTGCGGCAGTCGCGGTGGCATGCTGATCATATCCTGTTTGCCACAATCGACCACATTGCTCGACCAGTTGGCATCGTGGAAACAGCTGCAGTTGTTCGGACAGATCAGCTCGCAGTCGCAGTTGCCGTACTCGCAACAGTGGCACGTTGAGGGGCAATGCGAATCGTATTTGCAGAGGAAGTCTGCCGCAGTCAGGCTGGAGAGGGGGCGCAGTGGCGCCTGCCTGCTGTGTGGCATGAGGCACTCGATGTTCGCCAGATCCACAACACGTGGATGCTGCCGGGTGGTCAAATTATTGATGCGTTGCAGCCACTCCATGGAGCAATCACACTCGAACGGATTGCCACCGAGATAGAATTCGGGCTGCGACTTGTCCTGTGTCACGGGTGCCACACGCAGCGAGTTCAACGAGATCTTGGACAACACGTTTGCATAGAGATCGACGCGTGCCAAGCGGGTTTTGTCCACAAAACTATTCGGTTGGATCTGACCGATGATGTTGTTGTTGATGAACAGCAACTCAATCGAATTGGGCACCGAGTTCGGCGAGATTTCCGTAATCCGATTGTGACTCGCATCCAGCGTGCTGACTCTCAACTCCTCCTGCAGCTTGTAGTAGTTGCCCAGCGCCTCAATGTAATTGCCATGGATGTCCAACCACTTCAGATTCGAGGGTATAAACGCATAGTCGAACCAAACCAGATGATTTTCGGACAGATTTAGCCAGAGCAGTGAGGCAAGTGTGGCAAAGATCCCGTTAATATCCGTGAGGAAATTCTTATCCAAGCGGATCGCCTCAATTTCCGTATTCTTATCGAACGAGCCCCGCTCGATGTTCTGTATACGATTCTTGGCCAGATTGAGGACACTCAAACGTGGCAGCTGCTGGAACATGTTGATGGTGATATTTCCAATCCGGTTATCGATCAGACGCAATCCGGTCAACTGATTCAGATTGTTGAAGGTGCCATTTTTGAAATCGGATATTTGATTCTCGCCCAAGTCGAGAGTTTTGAGCATGCTCAAATCCTGCACCGCCTCCGGAACCTCCATCAGCTGATTGGAGCTCAAGTCGAGTTCTTTGAGATCCGAGCAATTGCGGAACGCTTGCGATTCCACAATGCTAATCAGATTGTTGTTCAGTGTGAGTTTTGTGAGCACATACAACCCATTGAAGATGCGATTATCCAGGGTATGCAGACGATTCTCAGCCAGATTCAATGTATGCAAGTTGTACAGCGGCAGAAAGGCGCCCTCCTCAATATGGCCAATGGAATTGTTGCGCATATCCAAGATCTGAAGAAAGTACAGCTCCTTGAAGGTCTTGGCACCAATGCGAGTCAAGGCATTATTCGAGAGATTCAAGACAATCAGGCGAATCAGGCCGGCAAAGGTGTTGTTGTCCACATGATGACTGGTCAGCTGATTGCCACTCAAATCGAGGACGAGCAACTGTTCGAGCCGATGCAACAGACCCTTGGGCAGATCGTACAGATCGTTGTGATGCAGATGCAACTCGCGCAACTCCTTGTTGCCGGCAAATGCCTCCGATGGCAGCGACTCCAGATGATTGTGCGACAAGTTCAACACTCGCAACGAGCTCAAACCCGCCAGGGAATTTGGCGAGAGCGTCGTGATATTGTTGTGCTGCAGACTCAATGTTTGCAGGCGACGCAGCCGGGAGGCGCCCCAAGCGTCGGGCAGCGAACGCAGCTCATTGTGCGACAAGTCGAGCACTTGCAGCTCGGAGCCGCCACTCAGCTGATTGAGCGCTGGCCCAGCGCTGCCACTCAGGCACAATTTCTCCGAGAAGCCCAAATGTTCGGCGCCGCGTACGCGATTCTGGGTGAGATTGAGCAGTTGCAGGCCGGGCATGCTGCACCACACACCCTCCGGCAGCTGGCGCAAATTGTTGTCACCCAAGTGCAGTTCGCGCAACTCGCGCAGACCCTGAAACGCCTGCGCGTGCAACTCGAGCGTTTTGCCCGCGCCCCAAACGGAGTTGTGCGTCTCGAGTTGCAAGCGCTTCAGCGAGTGGAGACCCTCGAAGGCCAGCGCGGGCACACGCTGCAATTTGCAGGCATCCACGCGCAGCTCGGCCAGTTTTTGCAGCTTGCGAAAGAGGCCGTGTTGCAGCTCGCTGGCGTGCAACAAATCCTCGCTGCATTGCAACTCAAAGCGATTCGCCGTCTCTGCCACCTGCAGATCCAGGCCGAGTCCCTGGTCCAAGGCGCGCACGTTGCACTTGATGTCCATTGTGGTGCGCACAAATTCCCAGGCGCATTGCTGCGCATGCGTCGCCGCCAGCAGCGCAGCCAGCAGCGCGGCCAGCAGCAACAGGCGACAATTCGCATTTGTTGCAATTGTTGTTGCCGTCGTTGTTCTTTTTGTTGACATGTTGCTTGAATTTTCGCGCTTTTCTTTCTTATTTTCAAATTGCCAGCTTTTCTTTTTTTGGCTTAAGCTAGTTTTAGCTTTTTCTGGTGGGTTTTGGGATATTTTTTTTTTTTAGAAAATTTATTTCACTTTCTGGTTTTCATATTTGAGCGCTGTTTTTTTTTTTTTTTTTTGTTGCTTGCTTTTTTGTTGCTTTTTAGCTTGCTACGCGTAACCGTAATCCTTGTGCGTGTTTTTTATTACTTTTGTTTTAAATATTTGATTTGTGACTTATTTTAAGTTGTTTCACTTCCAGCTCTCAGCACTTGAACATATTTTTGTGTGTGCAAATTGCATTTGAAATATATTTTGTTTGTTTACAACATTTTACGTTCGACGTTGGCACTTGGAAAATCGTGTGTTTTTTTTACAGATTGCTCTCGCTACATATATATATATACACTATATATATGTATATATATATAAGTTTATTTGTATTTTTGTGCTTGCCGGGAGCTCGTTTTCTTAAAGCATGTTAACCGCCTCGCGCTTCAACTCAAACTGATTGCTGAAGTTGAACGCCAGCGACTCCGTTGGCTCGTTGAAAATGTTTTTACGAGCGACGACGGCAACGAACACACACACACACAGCCAGACACACATAGCGTATGTATGAACAGCAAAAGGCAGACAGACAAAAATGTGCTTGTTGTGTGTGTATGTGTGCCTGCTGGCTAGTTCGTGCGCTGCTTGCTGCGCTGTTGCTGCATTCACACATGCACATGCACACAACTCACACACACACAGCAAAGATGTGTACGTCGCTCTCACATACGCTACGCTCTTTGCTACTGCTTTGGCTAGCCATATGCAGTTTAGCAACATGCATGCATTTTACTCGCGCTCTCTCTCTCTCTCTATCTCGCTCGCTTACAGCTCACATGCATGTGCATGTCCGTGTGGGAGAGTGCGCTCGCTCTCTCGCTCTCACCGAAAGTAGGGGAAATGTTGCTAGCTCTGCTCTCTCTCACACACACATGCACACACAACAGACTACCACACATATGTTTAGAGACAGAAAACAATCTGTGAAATTGTTGTTGCTGCGATCGTCATGAAAACCAATTCAATCTTTACATATATTTTTTATTTTTTTTCCGATCGACACTAATTAGTTGAACTATAAAAGAAAAAAAATAGTTTCATAGCGGAGCTTAGCAAAAAAAAAGTCAGCAACAGTTGCTACGATTCCTTATTAATATACAGCTATATATTTTTTATAGATCATCTAATCAGTTAATGATTTTTTAATGTTGCCGTTTCGGGCGTCAGAAATGTCAAATTATTTCTCATTTTTATGACTTATTATGCAAAAAAGATGTATTTAAATGGCACCAAGCGCTATTAACTGCTTTTTTTATTAACTAAACATTAATTAATAGACATAAATACTGAATAACTATTCGTTGTATGCACATAATTAAATCGGTGTAATCTGCACAGATAAATAATGCATAACAATAAAATAAAATGTATTAAGATTGTAAATCATCTATAATTGAATTTTTTGTATAGATAAATAAATAAAGTATAACAACAAAATACAACAGAGAAAACTTAAATATCTATTTAGTATTAGATCTTAAAAAAGATAGTAACTCATCAAAAAATGTATTTATTTTTAATAGCTAAACCCAATTTGAAATTCAAGCTAAAGTTTCTTTTTCTAGTATTTTTCTCTGTTAATGCCTTTTGCCACTCTTTCAGCCCCTTCATTCGCTGTAGGGTTAAGCATTTGTGGCACTAACCGGTGGCAGTCAACAGGCTGTCTTGCAACATTTCGTGTGTGCATGTGTTGTCGGCTAGTTGCCACCTCCACCTCCCCCTTTCGTCCTTTTTGGCAGCAGCAGCAGCAGCACGGACTCGTTGCTGGCGTCGTGTTGCAACACGAGTGTTGCTGCCTCTGCATCTGCCTCTGCCACCCGCCACTCAGCCACCCACTTTGAGTATGTTGCAATGGCCATGTTGCATGCCACAGTGCCCTTAAGCCAACTAGTCGACTCGACTCTGAGCCATAAAATTCAGTTTCTATTGTCGTCTGTCAACTGTTCTGTGTATTTTAAAAACATTTTCTTCGCTTTTCTGCTTTTTGTCAAATTGAGAAGTGTTTTTTCTAGCGCTCAGTTGATGAAAGTGGTGAATTGAGAAGGATTCACTGAATAGGCTATCAAGTTTTTGGCTTGGTTGGGTTTAATTGTGAAAGGGGCTTTTAAAGAGTGATAAACTTATGAGTAGTTAAACTAACTGAAAGTACTTGAGTAAATTGTGATATTACTTTATATCTAACATCAAACTAGTTTTGTATCTGGAATGGAATTGACTTGGATTACCCACAGCTATCTGGAGAACCCTTTGTAATATTCTTAAAACTCTTAACGATCTTTTGACCTGAAAGACAACTAACTAAACTTGTTATGAAATGAAATGAATCCTCTAAGCAAATTATAACAGAATATGTCGCCTTAGTCAGCAAATTATTGATATATTTTTGGAATACATGTTATCAACTTGGAAGCCATTAATAAACTTTATTGATTACTTTTGTTAAAAAGATATTTTGAGGCATCCATACATATACATAAAATCGATTAAGATCTCATTAAAAATTTTCTTAAGCAAATTTTTTGCTTTTTACCATTACTTAATAATAATTGAAATATATTACTTGCAACTAGATCAAGTCTCTTTTTAGATATTCCAATATATTTTAACATTTATCAGCTCTTAATCTTTTCTTTTTTGGATTATTATTAACATTAGAATTAACTTCTAACATTCAATTCTTGTTTCCTTTTCCACTTTTAATTTAATTTGATTTTAATTGCTTTAGTTGTATTTATTTGATATATCCTAGAGTTAACTTCAAGTTTAACTCTTTATAATTGTGGCTCTGTGCATCTTTGGAATGGATTGCCACCTCTCAATTATAATCTGCAACTTTAGAATGTTTTCGCATGTCTGCCTACTCTCTACACATGTAGCATATGCAACACAGATTTGAGTCGTAATATGCATGTTGCACATTTAGGTATTTGGGCATTTAGCATTAGATGCCTCATCATTTTGCAGCTTAGAGTTGCTGCTGTTGCTGCTGCTGTTGCAGTTGCCGCTCGCGAGAATTGTAGATATGCGTTTATGTGGCAAGTCAGCAAATTTACGAGTTGCTACCGTGCCCATTTATGTCATACAACACACAACTGCCACACGGCTCAACAATCTCAGCACAACTCTTCCACACTCTCAACGGCAAAGCTTAAAATATTGCATATGAATGTTGCATGCAACGCGCCAGCAACAAACATTAACGAGCAGCATCAGCAGCAGCCAGCAGCAGCAGCAGCAACATCGCCGTCGCTGCTGCTGGCGTCAACTGCGACAGCAGCAACATCGTCGTCGTCGTCGTCGGCGTCGCTGGTTGGCAACATTACAGTTTGAATGCTATTATTATGCCATTTTTAATGCCTTCCACATTCAGGCGTGCAACAAGCGGCTGCCGCTGCCACTGCCGCTGCCACTGCGACGGCGACGCGACTGCGCTGTGCCACGTTTTTTCCACCATTAATTCCATTTTGTTTTTCTTTTTTTTTTTTGCCATGCTCTGCTCCGCAAAAAATTAAATGCCCTGCAATTAGAAGAGGGCATATCTGACCTTAGCATATAAGAACCTGTCAATAAATGAGGGTTTTCCAAATTAAAATTTAATTTGATACAAGTTTAAAATAATACATGCTGAGTAATAAAAAAATATGATTTTTGCAGACCATTTATTAAGTATCCAGATTCTACAGATCAAGTTTTACTTTTGTTTTATCTTTTAGTGGTTTATACATATTTTTTAGAGGTCACCTGTTAGTCGTGCACTTCCTAATCAACTCTATCTTTTTATTAGACCAACCTATATATTTATACGTATTTTTTCTAGATTTTGCATGCTGTTTGTTTTTGTTCAACTTTTGCTTTTATGCCTTTTTTTCCTGCACTTTTTTACAGGTCATCTGATAGCCGCAGTGCTTTGTGTGTCTGTCTCTGGCTCTGTTTTACTTGGCTTTATTTAGTTACTATAGCTATTTAATGTCATTTCTAGTTACTTTGCGCTAATTTTTTCGGTTACTCTGATAATTTTGTTGTTACTTTCAGCTGCACTGCAAAAAAAAGCAGAGAAAAATGCCAACAAATAAACAAACAGAAATACCAAACGCTAACTAAATTTGGCATAATGCATGCAGCTCTGTTGCAAGTTGTTGCTGCTGCCCGTTGTGCATGTAAATGTCACGCCCAGCACGCCCACCTGTCATAGAAGCATAGCACACATAGGCATCTGTGTGTATGTGTGTGTGAATAGTGTGTGTGTGTTGCGGTGTACTTATGCTTTTGGCTGTCGACTTATGCCACTTAAAATTACATTAAAAAACTTCTGTCGTCTGCCAAGGCAAGGGACAGGCCAGGTCCAACAACAACACACACACGCCCACCGCCCACTCATCTTACATTCCAACACACATACACCACTCTCTCTCTCTCTCTCTTTCTCTCTGTCTCTACATCTCTCTCTGTTTCTCTCATGGCATTTCTGTAATTCACTCACTTTTTGCTAGTGCAAACTTTGCCCAGCTTTTGGGAATTTGCCATGCTGCCTTCTGCTGCTGTTTCTGCTACTTCTGCTGCTGTTGTTCATTAATTGTTGTTGTTGATGCTTATACCCTAACACAAGGTATTTCACAATTTGAACTAACCCGAGTATAAATAGAAACATATCTGCCGGAACAACATACAAATTTATGATCTCTAAAAATATGGCTGTTTATTGTTTGGCTTTTATAATTTAAATATATTTTTTTTTAGCAGACAACATATAAATAATCAATTAAAATTATGATTTAAACAAAATTGAAATACATTTCGAATATTCCAACTATTAAGTATAGCCCCCTTCTAATCTATAAAAGATTTTGTCATATTTGGAACTGATGCCGATAGTAATTTAGTGGTTTCTGCAGTGATCTTTACATAT